GTCATCAGCATATTGGAGCAAGCAGGTGTCTGGTGGGAGTTTGACATCTTTCAGTGTATCGTGCACTACTGAGGAGAAGACAGCCGGAGAATCTCTGAACCCTTGAGGGAGTCTCGTCCACGTGTATTGACAATTCTGAAAACAAAATGCAAACAATGGCTGAGTGTCACGATCAACAGGAATGCTGAAAAAGGCTGAGCTTAAATCAATAACAGAATAAAATGTATGTGCTGAAGGAATTGAATTTATTATATTCTGCACATCTGGCACAATCGGAGCAAGTGGTTTTATCAAATCATTAATTTTTCTCAAATCTTGTGTTAAACGCCAAGAACCATTTGCTTTCTTAATTGGATTGATTGGTGTGTTATAAGGTGAATGAGTTCGGATCAGAATGCCTTGACTCAGGAATTGTTCAATGAGGGGTGAAATTCCCTCCTCTTTTTCCTTTGAAAGTGGGTATTGTTTTTGAAACACAGGCCTAGTGGTTATCAAATTCGCCCTATAGGGCTGAACATTTATTAACCCTACGTCATCTTTGTGTTTCGCCCACAATTGAGGGTTGACACCCGAAATTTCCGGTGTCAGCACAGTTGCAGATGAATCCTCAACAAGAGCACTTCCTGTATCGGTCGTAATGGAGAAAACTGCGGGAAACAGAAGTGTCAGAGAGTTAGATTCAAATTCCAATTTCATACCTAGCTTATGCATCAAGTCTCTACCTAATAGACAGAATGGTGAATTCGGTATGATTGCAAAAGCATGCATTTTAAACAATGACGGCACGTCATTACTGGTAATCGGTAAAGATGGTGTCAAATCGCATTTCACAGGAACATTATTTATGCCCACAGAATTAATTTTCTTTCCTGTGACGGAGCCTGAGTACACATTTGAACTTAGGGAGGAGACAGAGGCACCACTGTCAATCAGAAAGACATATGGTTTATGGTCAACTTTCAATTCAAGAAATGGCAAAACATGTGATTTATTTGGATATTGAATCGAAAGTAGTGAAAACTCAGACTCTTGATTCTGCGGGCCCCTTCATGCACGTTTCCATTCAGTCTGATACACAGGCTGTTGCTTCTGACTTGGAGAGAACGAAGGTTGGGGCCTTGGCCTATAGCCATCAGAGCGTCGACGCATCTGGTTCCTATTGGCCTGCTTCATTTCCAACTTCTGCCTGCAAAACTTGGCCACATGCCCTGTGCTGCCACAGCAGAAACATGTTAGAGGTTTTGGTCTATAACCGACCGGACGGTTCGGAGCTGAGGCATCAACCTGCAACATTATCGGAGTTTACCTCGGGAGGAGACAAAGGCTCCTGCAGAGGAAAGCTCACGCAAACGTTTGCCAAGGTCATCAATTGACATAGTTAAAAAGTTATTCGTGGTGATTCGAATTAATTGAGCAGTCTCGTCATGCATATTGTTCAGAAACGTGTTCACAAACAACTGACAATTATCATCATCAACAGGGATGGCAGATTCTTCAATCCAAGCACGTTTAAATCTGTTAAAGAAAGCTACTGGACTCTCACCAGCTTTTTGTTTTGTATTAGCTGCATGGGAGATGTCTTGTTTAGCAGATGACAACTTCATTAAGAATGTTGTTAATTGTTTAAAAAAAGTTGAAGTTTACCTGCATTGGCCCACACCCAATCAACATCGTAATCATCGTAATCATCCATCACGCGAACTCCACGAAAAGATCGCGACAAATCAACAGGTTCTGAATCTCTGATCAGAATACTACGGGCCGGTGGCGCGTCATGTATTGGACGTAACAGATCAATTTCTTCTATTAATTCTTCCTCAGTAATTTCAGCCGGGAGTGTTTTAGTTAATATGAAACGATAATCCCGCCCTGTCAATTGACTGTAAGCTGTCAGTCGCTTCAAAACTGAAACATACTGATGCGGAGTTTTAGTCGGATCTGGAAGTTCTTTGCAAATAGCTACAACGTCGGCAAGAGGCAACGGATGCACTTTAAAGCCGTCTGAAGTTTCCACGAAAGGAAACGTAGTCGCAGCCTTTAAATCAGGATACAGTTTATTTCTCACAGGCGTCTCACAAACTGCTGGAGTCTGAATGGACTCATATTTAGGAGGGTGGGGGACGCTTACATCGGCAGTGTGAGAGAAACTTTTTTTTTTCTCTCACTCTGTGTGACTGGATTTTGAGCGGTCTGCGTCTCTCTATCAGGCTGCGCACTGAGTGCACCCTGGGAGGGAGACGATTTTTGATCTTTATTTCTTTCTGCAGTTTTATCTATCTCCGGTCCGCGATTCCAGTATTTTTTCATCGTTTCCCATGTTTTATAGGATCGTTTCATATAATCAAAATCCCAATTTGGATCACCCCAATTTCCAAAAATCATGTCTTTAGCACTTTGCATGTATGCATCTTTGAACGAACCTTCACGAGGAAACGGATCTAGCTGTGTTTTACCAGCTGACCAGCCAGCTAAATTTGATAGATATGGTTCCGTGAAAAATGCTTGATCATTCCGAATCATAAAATCTTTCGGCGTTTCATCAATTAGCGGCGGACTTATTTTATTTCCCATTTTAAGCCACACAAAAATTTCTCCTCTAATTCAGAGTTAACAATTTTTTCAAAATAGTCAAATGAAAAAAAAACAAAGGCAAATTGTTAGTACAGATAGGAAACAAAGAGATGGAGGGAAAAAATAGAAGGGGGGGGGAATTAGGCCTATGTATAGTCTATTCACAACCTCAAAAAATGAACGGAGTTATTCGAAATATCTCGCGAAGATACTTCCTAAAAAACAGGGGAAAGTGATCAATTTCCTCTGTTCATCCCGTATTTATCAAAACACGAGGTCAAACCCAAAACATCAAAAGAGGTAGCAATTCTCTTTTGTGCTCTTCCCGCGCTTTTTATCAAAAAACGCGAGGAACGACGTCATCCCGCAACGATATGAGGAGAAATCCAATTTAACAAAAAATAGTGAGGGGGATCAGACCTCCTTTTTTTGCTCTTCCCGCATTAATTCAAACACGAGGATAACCATTCTCCCAATCGATTACGAGGATTTTACCAAATATGGTAAAACTTCACGGCACTAAAATTACAACAATAACTTTTTCTCAGCAAACAGTAAGAACCAACTCTCTCCCTTCTTTTAAAAGAGAAAAAATTAAATTCTTACCACTTGGAGAAATCCCAGGACCGAGCCCCCAAATTGTTAGAAATGAACGACTTCCAACAAGTGCCTTTTCCTCCACGTCCTTTTATTGAGTTGTGAACAGACCATACAGAATCAAAATCACCAGCGCTGGGGGAGCCAGAAAAGATAGCTCAGCCTCCCCATATGTGACATGCAAATATATATGAAAATATCAAGGGGAGTTATCTGGTCTTATCCAATAGAATTATATATGACCTCATGCCATATCATATATACGTTGTATAACATTTATATAATAACTCCGAATATGGTCAATATCCGTTGAAAATACCCTCAGAACCTAGGGATCCTAGAAGACTTTCTATATGTAACAAAAGAAAGAAGAACAGAAAGGGGAGAGGGAGAAACTCTCCAGATGTTTGAACTTACACACATACATACAGAGGAATGTGCAAGCAAAGCATAAACTCTTCATAGAGCCTTTATACTCTTGGGCCTAATGGACATAGCTGAGACTAAAAAGACTTATATTTCTGACAGGGGTGAACTAACCCAGTAACTGGTTGAGGGTTGTGCTTGCAAGGGCGAGATCATGGGTTTGAATCCAATGCGAAACACAAAGTGTGAATTCAGTTTGATTGGAACACTTTTGCCATTGAGGTGACTGGGAAAAATGTCCCAATCAACCCGAATACATCTTACACTTAGTATTTATATATCTTGAATGTACTGTAGGTCACTCCAAATAAAAGCACCTGCCAAATATTGCTTTGCAAGTTCCTGTTATCTGTGACATGTTTTGGCGGTCTTGTAGCCACCAGCTCTTGGAGTTTGAGCGCACAACCGTCTTCTGCTCAAGCTGAAAGCGTTTCGACACAAGTGCAGAATAATGCAGCCCAGTGCTCTGTTTGTTCCCACTTCTTTTTCGGTCTGCCACAGCCTGTAATTATCTACAGCTGAAAACAAGTGCATGCTGAAATGCCCATTGGGCCATAGAAATGGAATTATAGCCCGCGTCGCTTTCCTTTCTCTACAGAAAGAATGCTTCTTTTTGTGGCAGAGAATGTGTGTTTAGTTTAGTTTGAACTATTTTGGCAAGGAGGGGGCTCTCGGCAGGCCAGCCGCATGCGACGTCTTTGTTAAACGTCTTGATGATGGAAAATTGATCAGGCTTGAATCAGAGGTTCAATATATGGTCTCCCTCAGTCTATTGTCTAGGTGAATTGCACATGGTGAAGGGCCACAGGCAGGTTGCTATTAATATGACAGCCTACTCCATATCCAGCTATAATTTCTAATGAAATACCTAATCTCCATTATTTTGATCCAGGCGGGCGATAGCGTAGAAGAAAAGGAGAGAAGAGGGAGAAAAGGCTTTTCTTTGTGCTTTTCCGTACGAGAAATGGCAAACCGATCATTTTTGTCAAGTTCTTTTTTGAAGCCGACCGAAATGCTTGTGGATTGCCACAGTTTAAAAAGGCGCCCAGATAAAGCCATTCAAGGCGCTGAATGCAGACGCCATCTGTTTTTTTTTCTATTTCCTCTTTTTTTCTCCTTTTTCAATCCTTGTAATCAAATTTGAGCAAAATCAAATGGAAGGGGGAGTTTCAATGAAAGTACCTTTTGTTGGGCTGAAACGAGCAAGTAATTTACAAACTGCCCTTCCTTTGTGTGGGAGGCTAAAGGAAAAAAGAAATCAGTAGCTTTTAAAGCTAGGCCTCGCTGCGACTCCGCAGATAATGAAAGCCGTCTGTGTTGTGGGCTAGAGAGCATTTCAAAGGCAGGCCTGACTCAGGGTTACACTGCTAAAAAACCTGCGTGTGTTTGTTTTGTGCCGAGAGCAGATCCAGTCTTCAACGCAGTACGGACACAAGGTGAGTCGGCGAAGGAGGACATCTTCTTTCAGCTGGAAACCGTTATTGGACATGTGGGAATCTAAGAGGACTTGAGCCTACTTGCCTTCACTATCCTTATGGATGGAGCCGTCGCTACGTTTTCCCCCTGCCGCTTCACTGTGGAAGATTGCCGGAAGGTGAGTCCCTTGGGATTTCTTCTCCTGATGATTCCCGTCAGTCCGCGACTCGTGTGTGCCAAAATGTAAATGAGTTTTTTTTTTTAAGATAAGCTGTGATTTATGGCCGGGCACAGGAGTGTGGTGTGCGTACGCTTGGCTGTAGAGGGCAGAGCGGGTAACCTCTTACTTCAAGGGCTTTTACCATAATCTGTGTAACTCACAATGTTGATAATTTGACTGAAATTAGCATAATTGTGGCGTCCCAAATGTCTTCTTCGGTGAGATTAATCACAACAAAAATGTTTTACAATTAGTATTAGAAAGTTTACTGCTTGTTGAGAGATCACATAATGTTTGTTCAATTATTAATTAGGACTGTTGTGTTTGATCCCTCATGACTCTAAATTATAAATGAAGTTTTACTTGTTGCATTGAACAAATCATCTTTGGGAGTTGTGTTTATTACACATTTATAGAATATTTATAACATATTTTCTTTAAATGGCACCGAACACAATGCTTAATGCTTATGCACACTATGCATGACTTACCTTTTCATCTGCAAAAAAGTTTTCACTTACACATACTTTTATTCTAATTAGCCAAGTTTCAAAGCTAGTTTCACTCTCGCGGCTACATTAACAATAGACAAACTGTGGCACATTTAAATGAGCCGGTGTATTGAAATGTCAAAATTTGCACTGGAACAAAAAACAGGCAAAATTCAATCTGAGTCTGAATAGAATATTAAATAAGTCGACTCTCTACCGCCACCCAACCATAAGCAGCGCCCGCGTCAGGCCGCCCATGGGAGAGGCAGTCAGTCAGGCGGAGTGCATCATTTACTGCTCATTCTGTACATAATTCATGCTGGGATCATTCATGTGTGCATTATAGCAGGAATTATGCAATCTGTATTGATACAGGCCTATAAAGCTTGGCCATTACCATGCTTTTTCTTATTCCTGATTAAATGAACAAAACAAACAAACGTGCATAGAAATGGCAAAAGTTCCATTGACTCCCATTGAAATTGATGAACTATCAACACTATTTTGGTTGTTTTTACTAACGTTTAATTTATTGTTCAATACGTTAAAAGATAGAAAGTGTTTCAAGTATTTTAAGCTGCCACTAATAAAAGCTGATAAATTAGTGTTGCGTTCCTTAATGTGTGTAATCATTTGTCACCCGTTGGTGTTTTACGCTGCCAGCTGAGGTTTATCGGATAAATCTGTCTCAATTATGTGTCATGAACGCATCCCCCTCAGGGGCGTCAATACCAATGACTTAATGGGCTGCTAACGGATGGGGGGTTGTGTGAGTGGATGGGCGTTACTGACCGTCCAATTACAGCCCAATGAGCCACGGCCAGTCAACTGCTGGTGATCATAACCCATTTACACATGACCCAGCGGCTCAAAACCTCTCTGGGTTTAACCGTCCGAGCCTCTATTTTGATCCAGAAGCTCCTAAAGCTCATATTATAGTAGGTTAGTCTAACATTGGGCTAATTATGCATTGCCAATTATAATAGCTTTGGGTTTATTTGACATCAGTGTTCTAGAGATTAGTCTAAATATGCAAAAAAGTTATAGATTTACATTTAATGTAGTGAGAATGTGGGTTAAATATGCTTACGGACAAAATGTTGTTTCACGCACTGGTCAATTTTAATATTTGGGGCTGTTTGGCTTTTGTTTTAAACTAATGGAAAGTTTCAGACTTCTGTAGGCTTCAATTGCAATGTATATCTTGTAAAGGGTGTTTTCACAAAATGAATTTTTTCTCCATTTCAGCTGCACTTATATACGCCAAAATTTAGAGTTTTTTTCCTATCTATATACTGAAGGTTTTTACAGAAGGGTTTGTTCATTTATTATCCACAGTCTTTTATTCCTAAAAACATGTATTTTGTAATTTATATGTGATAAAAACAGACTTCCAAATTCCCCTCTGTAAAAAAAACTTTAAGTATGTCAACAGAATTAAATGAGAATGTTGATTTATGTTCTGGAAATGCATGCAAATTAGGGCATATTTAATCGAACAATGGCTCGTTTCCATATTTAAGCATATTTTAACTTAAAAATGTTTGAAATTCTTAATGTAGTCAATCAATTGGGCAAGTATGGCGATATCTATTATAGCTAAATATTTTACACTAGTCATAAAAAACAATGTCACAATACAAAAATCTTAGTGGTCCTAAACATAAAAGCAATTGTATTGTTTTTATTTTAAACAATTTTGCGTTCTTCACTTCATTAAATACAGGTTTTAGTCCAAATGGAGCAAAATGAAGCATGGCGATTTGCAGGAGCAATGTGCGATTAGACTTAAATGCAGGAACATTGATGTAGGACTAATCTTAGACCACTTTGTCTCTCTCAAAGCTCTCTGGGCAAGGTGTCTCGAGCACCTACTCGCCTTAAAACCAGAAATTAAAACGATTTATAGACAAACCCTAGCAAAGAGGACCCTAACCCTATATTTAAGCTCAGAAGTAGCTCTTCCACCTAGAAAGCTGTAATTAATAGGGCCAAAAACCTTACTGAAGTCTCACCTCTCCGTAATCTTCGAATGTAAATGAGGGGTTTAGCGCTGATATTACTGGACGTTCAGGAGAAACTGCAGAATTAGGACCTCAATCTTGGTTTTTCAGCCGACGTCAGGTTCACCTGATACGGTGATAGGGAACAGTTAGCAGGCTAATACGTAGGCTAATACACGTTTGCTACGGCAGCTTAATATTAAATTTACTGATGCTAGCAGTTAAAATGTATCTGCGTTGCACAAAAAATGGTCTATTCCAATTTTGCACCTGTGATGTTTTATTAGTGCTGTGTGAAATAAGATTTTAACCAACTTTAAGCAGCATGGCATTGCTAAAATTGCAATCAGACATGCTGGGCTGACCCTGCCATGCGCTGAAGTCTCAGCCGCTCGAGTGCAAATGGACTTTCAAGGCTGTTTTTTTTCAGGAAGTAGGCATTAGTATATTCTGCATAGCTGCATAGATTTTATTGCTGCGTTTTTTTCCCTGGAAAAAAGGCATACATGAAATTGACCCTGTGTATTTATTTAATGCATGTTCCTGCATGTCTTATTTTGAATGATCCTTCAGCGCACATTAAAAACGACTTGCTCCGCCTCTGAAGCGATAGCTTGAACCCCTCCCCTCCAACCAACATCATTTGTGATTCAGTTGATGGATAAAATAAAGTGCCACCCTACATGTTTTTTTCTTATTTACAGTTTCACTCAACAAACAATATCAGATTATGAAATTAAATTGACTTTAAATTGACGTACAAGTAATGTTTAAGACTAAATCAAGTGGCTAACTTTGCATTTACAACTCAAAATAAACTTTTCTTGCTATTTTTGACTGATTTTATTGTTTATTTCTTATTTACATTTACACTGTAAAAAATATTTTCATGATTTGTAATCACAACATTTTTTCATTTGTCAAATCAACTTATAACATAATATTTTGAGTTTCTGGTGATTAATTAATCTCCTTCATTGTATTAACTCAATTCTTCCATTTCAATGAACTTAAAATTTTAAGGCAACCAGGTTACTTATTTTTTTAAGTTAAACCAACAATATTTTTTTTACAGTGTACTACTAATACTATTTATGTAATGATACAAATTTTTTATACTGAAACAAATGCTACTAGCATGTTACTTATATGTTTTTGAACATTCAATTAAACAAAAACTGCATTTATTTGAACAAAAATAACAACAGTAATATTGTAAAAAGTGAAATATTATTTCAGTCGGATATGCTGATTTGATGCTCAAGAAGCATTTCTGATTATTATCAATGTTGAAAACAGTTGTGATGCTATACGCATTTCTGTGGAAAGCATGATATTTATTGTTTTCTTTATTGGGTTCTTTAATTAATAATAGAAAGGCCAAAAGAGCAACTCATTTGAAATATTTTGTTATATTTAAAATGTTTTTTTTTAAATATCCTTGCTAAATATATGTATTAAAAAGCATCTGCAACATGCAATAAATAATTCCATTCCTCAGTCATTATTGTTCATGTAGATTTCCTTATTAAATCATTTGTTGTCTGCTTCTGACTGGCTCCTCCCCTGCCATTATGACATCAGCGAGACATTTCTGTGGCTCCTCCCCCTTCAATATCACATTGCATCATTTTCATGAGTGATGATGTCATCATGCACCTATAGCTTTAGCGCTGTTTTAGAGGCTCACAAAACATTTGCTGATCCAGATGCGTTTTGTGAGGGCTAGACGTTGTTATTATATAAAACATTAATTAAATAGCAAAGGTTAGATGCTTCCTGTGTTTGCATGATGAATATACACCACCATGACTGTCATTTTGCCCAAAAACGAGTAAGTAATGTGCAGTAATGACACACACGAAACACTTTCCTTCCATTTTCCTTGTAGCATTTTCTAAGGATTGCACTTGGCAGCCATTAAAAGGAACCATGCAGAGAGCAGATGTGAAAACGTGTCAAAAGGCGAAATATCTGATAAACAGAAGTGCATTTATTGTGGCAGTTGTTAAATAATAATGTTGATTATGGGTTGGCAGAACACAGATGTGGTAATTGTCTGTCATGGATGTGACGGTTAGAATAGAAAATGACACGCAATAAACAACGGCGGGCCGGAACATTTTTAGGGAAATGTTGCAATATTGTAGAGCAGTTTTCTGTGAGATGCAATTTATTCTCAACCTTTCCAATCAGAACTGCGAGATGCTAATGCAATATAATCTTTCAGCATTGAGTTTTATGCAGAACAACAAACAACAGCAAATAAAACAGCGGGGCACATAGGGATGGCAATGCGATTTATATGATGACACATGTACATTCACAATTTAACTGAATGAGCAATCAACAAATAAGTAACTTTCATGTTAAACAAAAAATCGTTTGGATAAATACTGTATATTATTTGTAAGTATTTCCACAATAATATGCATTTATCTGTGTGTGTCTATCTATCTATCTG